CGATGTAGAAAATGTCTCAGGAGTGTCTGTTGCAGCAACAACAACAACAGCGAGCACAGTAGCGGTAACACCAACTGATATACCTACAACGCAGGGAACTTTTGGAAAGTCAATTGGTGCAGGAGGAGGTGGTACGGTAAGTGAGGTTACCGCAGAAGGTAACCAGACTCTGAATGAATTGGGGACATCCCCCACACAAGAGAAATCGAGCAATTCACATCCTCACGATTCAGAGTACGATACGGCCAGTGATTTGGAGGGTAATGAGGAGTACGATGATGATGACGATGATATGGATGATAGTTTAACGGAAGATGATGATGACGAAGAAGATAGTGAAGATGAGACCGAAACGGACGATGATGAAGAGGAAGATGACGAAGGTGTCGATATCGATTTGCAGGGTCAAGAAAAAATTGATGCTGAGGCTCAAAAGAAAGTTGATGAAGATCGTAGTAATCCCCAGTATATTCCCAAAAGAGGTACGTTCTATGAACACGATGACCGTACGGCTGAAGTGGAGGGCGAGGGAGTTGTTGGAGAAGGTCAAGAGGTTGGTGAAAGTCCAGTAATTATTACTGGTGGGACTGGTAGTGTATCAGGTTCGAAAACATCTACAACGCCTACAATTTCAACTGCTTCTAAAACCATGAAAAAATGGCAACCAGCTTCGGCTGTAGATCGTTGGTCACACGATCGTTTTGATCCTTCGGAGCAGGCTCCTAAGTCTAGAACTGAACTGGTAAATGCCTATGGCTACGATATTCGTACTGAAGATGCCCCTCCTAAGGCACGCAGAAGACGTCGTTACGGTCGTGGGCCCAGTAAATACAATCGTAATTGGGAAGACGAAAGTGCCTACTTGAAGACCAATAATAAGGAGCGTAAACCACCAAAACCGTCAGATTTCCCAGCATTAAATGAAAATTCTAAGCCCAGGCGCACTAGGCGTACCAGAGAGGAGAAAGAAAATCGCATGGAAAGGAGAAAACGCGAAGGCAAAACCGGCGAGGGAAGAACGGAAAGGTCTGAGAAAATGGGACCATCATCACGTAGTCATCATAACGATGACCACGATCATAGAGGAGAACCTGACAGAAGAGAAAGAGCTGATAGGAATAACGAAGCTGGTTATAAGCAACAAAACCGTCAAAAGTCATATAACAATCGCGGTCAAGGACAAAATCAAGCTTCTGTAGGACGCCAAGCTGCCATGGAATTTAAGCAGAAAAATAGACAAAACTATCAAAATTCTTCAACTGGATCGTCCAATATGAATTCCAGTAATTTATCCAGTCGCTTGGAGGCCCAAAGGCAACCCCAGCAAAATCAACAGCAGACTCAAAATGTGGTCAGAAAGTCTACTAATGGTAGTGCTGGTACCAAGGATCACAATCAGTCTATGGGTCACCAAAACGTTCAGCAGGCTCAGCAATACGATGGGTATAATAACAATAAAAAGAAACATTTGGAACAAGGTTATCAACCTATACAAGCTGCACAACAACATTCAAATATAGCGCCACAACAAATTCATCATCAACAGCAGCAGTCCCAACAGTCGCCTATGCCTAATCATGGAATTAACAGACAAAATCCTCAAATACAAAACAAGGCACCACAACAACCAACATCAAATTTATCGCAACGTTTGCAGCAGGTCCAAAATCGCAATGATCCCAGTCATGTAGGCAGTGTACAAATGCACGCTATGGCTACCCAAAACCAGCAGCAACAACAACATCAATTAATGCAGCAGCAGGCGGCAAATATAATAATGGCTGGAACACAAACAAATCAACAACAACAGCCACAAAATCAGAATATCAGTCAACAACCAATGGAGCAAAGGGGACCACCTAAGAGATATTCCAGTCTGAGACGTTCTCAGCATGATGCTCAGCATATAGCCGATCACCAACAACAGCAATTGCAGCAACAAATGCATATTCAACAACAGCAGCAACAAAACTCATCTATGATGATGCCAGCAGATCAAGCCATGTTACAAGCGAATCTCATGCAAATGTATCATCAAGAAAACCTACAGGCTCAAATGCAAGCCTTACAAGTTACTCAACAACCTGCAGTAGTTAAACAACCCAACTATGCGGCTCAAGGACCTCAAGCTCAGCCCCAACAGCCATACCCAGGAGCAACAGCTTCGCCGGCTGCTTATTATGTAGCAACTCCAGATGCTTACACGGCAGCAGCTACTGCAGCTGTTACAGCGCAAGCCACGCAAGCTGCTGCCACATATGCCGCACAGCAAGCAAATCCCAATTATTTGGCTCAACAACAAACTGCTGCTGCAGCAGCTGCAGCAGCGGCCAGTTTAGTTTATAACAATCCTAACAATGCTCCACAACAGTCAGTAGCTGCTGCTACAGCTTATGGCCCATCGGCTCCAGTGGGTGTGGTAACACAGCCTCAAGCTGGCGCAGCAACGACAGCTGGCTACCAAAACTACAATACCGTAGGAGGAACTACTTACTTTGTACCACCTCCTACACAAACATCCTCACGTCCCGTCTCTCTACCCCAAAGAAGACCTACCAATGCTATTCCCATACTGCCACCTTCCGAAAAGAACAAGCAACAGAAATCACAAGACTCCAAAACCGACAACGATTCCAAATCGTCAACGAATCAACAGTCGAGCTCAAATCAACCCCCCATTGGTTCAGCCGAAAATATCGATCATATTATAGACAACATGTTTGTTCAGAGGCCAGCTTTCCAGCCCCCTCCGGCTACAACAACGACAACAACAACTACAAACAATACATCATCAAAAACTCCCGCATCAACTACAGATGCCACAGCAGCTGAAAATTCAAATACCGCCAACACTTCATCCCAGGATAACAATGCGCTAGTAACAACAGAAAATATCAATAAAGCCCCTAATGATACATCAAATGTTCCCACTGCTGCATCATCGTCCACAACTAATACTACAACAACTACTACCACCACCACTGAAAGCAGCAATAATAATCAAATATCAGCACAAGAATGAGAACAAAAGAAAAGTTATTATTATAATACACAATATCAGCATCAACAACAACATCATCCACATTCTCATCATAACTTTCTAACCCAACAGCAACAACTACAACATAATAATCATCATAATAACAACAATAATAATAATAATAATATAAATTTATTAATTAACAAACGTAAATTTTATTGAAGAAAACCCAAAAAAACCAAAAATGTTTTTGCAAAAACATTAAAAAAAATCTAACAAAATCATTAAACTACTAATAATAATCCATCTCCCTCAACACAAACTAGATTTATTTTCAAGAAATTTTAACATTGAAATGATATTTTTTAAGAAATCTGAAAATAATATTTTTTATATTAAATTGTCCAAATAATGTTTCTTGCTAAAAATTATCAAAACTTTTGTTTTTAAAATTTGTATTTTAGAAATGACCTTTGGTCATGCACTAGATAAGTATAAATGTATTTGTGTATAATTTAATATCTACGAAATTCACTCAATCACTCATTTTAAGAATGACATGCAATCGTTGCTGTTTAAATTCAGATCATAATATTTTAATTACTCATCTTGCTACTAAGTACTATGAGGCAGTTAGTTTTATATGTTTTAATTTTTTATTTTGAATAAATTTATGAGAAGATTGAATATTGGGGATTTTTTTACTTTAAAAATGTCTAATATCCATTTAATTTTTTAAAATATAAACTTTCATGTTTGATTTCTTATCTAATTTTAAATATCATTTCAAACAAAGATTTTTTGAAAATAATTCCTGTGTCTAAAACAAAAGTCTGCTGCTTTTCAATTGTAAATTGTATCCTTTTTTGAAAAAAGAAATTATGTGAACTTCCTTTTTTAGTTAAAATTTTTTGTTATTTTTTATTATTTTATATTGTATTGAACTAACCATTCTTTTTTTTATTATTTTTTATATTTAACTATTTAAATCTAATTGTATCTTCTAAAAAATCATTTCTATGCTTTTTCATATTTTAATTTATAGTTTTTTCTTTGTTTAATTTTCATTTAAATAATTTTCTATACATAATTTAAAATTTATGTACTTTTTATTAATAACACTGTGCTATCACTTACAAACCAGATAAAGAAAAATATAATTGTTAGCACGATTTCGAAGTAAAAAATTAAGAAGAAAAATTAAGCATTACGTCTATATGTATAATTAAATACCCTTTCTATATACATACTGTATTTTGAAGCAAAAAAAAATGAAGTTATTAATATAAATTAAAATGAATTTTGAATTAAATAATATTGAAATTTAATTATAAATGAATGTTTTAAATAATTGAAAATTAAATAAAATGAACGATTTTAATAAACGGTCTTTATAAAGAGTTTTTTGTTTTTGTCTGTAAACTGAATTCGAGTAAATTTTTAATTTAAAACGGATAAATCCTGATTCCAGTTTCGAACTTAGCGCTGTTCAATACTTTAGTAAAGTATACTTTTTTCAAAGGTTTATTTATATTTTTATACTAATTTGTTCCAAAAAGCATATTTTATTGCGTGAAGTCTATTGAATGCGTTATTTTTTTGTGGAGAGTTGATTTTTTTTAATTCGAATTTTTGAGAAGGTTAAAAGTCGAATATAGACTTTGCGATAAAGACATAAAATGGTTTTCGTTTAAAATAAAATTGTTTGAAAATAATAAATAAGATAAAAATTTTTTTACATTTTAACAATATTTTTATGCTTTAAAAAACTGTTTAAAAGAAATTCATAAATATTTCGAATTTGTTTTTAAAACTTTTATGAATCCTCAAAATTAAGAGATTATTTTAACATGTTTTAGAGATGATTTAAATTTTCAAACATTAAAAATCTTTCTAATCTAGAGATTATTTTCAGAACTTACAAATTTAAACTGAACTTCGAACTTTCGAAATGGTTCAAAATGTTTAACCTTACTTAGAATATAACAGAGCCAGTTAAATAAAGAGTTATAAAAAATAGTTATAACATAATATTTTTATACAAATTTATTTAAATGCTATTTCATGTAGATAAATACAGATAATATAAAAAATACACACTCGATTAAACTGGATATGCCTATGAATATATTAAAATTTATCTTAAATTATAAAAGTAGACAATTATTGGTATTTTCAAAATTCAAAAAATATTAAAATATTATACACTCAGATTTGTAATTATTGCACGGCACCAATTATACATATAACTTAAACTACTTACAACTACATATGTATATTAATATGGTTAACTTTACACACTGGATTATAGTTTTGACTGTGACACTTCTTCTAGTAATGACTTCATTTTACGGAATGCATTTATAAAGTGTTGATTAAATTTGTGGGCACTAGTTTTCTGACTATCACGAAAAGCAGAAGTTTGTATAAAAATGCTAAAAACAAAAAACATTATTAATATAAAACACATATTTAACAAAACAAACTTTCTACTTACTGTTCTCCTGTTATGGTATAAAAGACGCCATATCCATCCAACACCATAGGTGCAACGAAGCCCACATTTACTGAATAACCCAAAGTACTGGTAGATAAGACAAAATTACCACCACCCCCTGATTTCAAATATAGTGGATCTGAATAGAAATCTGGTATATCAATTTTATTTTCGTAAGCTGTACACCATAAACCGAACAAATGACGGTCAATTCCATGCCCTTTGCGGGCTTCATTCATCATATGGTTATGATGATTGACGGCTTTGCGAAAAGCATTAACAATTTCTGCTTTTGACGAATTTGTATTACGTGCAATTTGTATAAATTGTATACTTCATTAGTGCAAGATCTAAGGGTTTCTGTGCGTCCATTGTAATAATGACGCATCAAAGCAGTTTCATAAGTGGAAGCAATCCTAAAATCAACAAATATTTAATTGTCATAACCACGAAATTTGTATTTGACTTACTCTTCGTGCATTTCTGTGTATGCTAATTGCATAATGACTTGTACAAAAGAATCTGGATGTAATTTACATGTCTTAATATATTCTTTACCATAATCTTCAAATAATTCATGAGTGATTAAAACATCATGACCCTAAAATAGTAAGAAAATATATTACATACATCAAAAATTTCCTTAATACTGTTGTTATTTTTAACATACTCTTTCATCACAAGCCTGTTTAACGCGTTCTATTTCCGATCTCAATTTGTCATTAATACAAATTTTATTTCTCTTATTGGTACCAAAGGCATCAAATTGCATTCATCCCAATTGGGTTCAGGTTCTTCAATTAAACTTAGTTGTATAAACAAAATGTAGCTAACACTAACAGTGCCATCATAACAGGAATGCTAAATCAGTATTAAATTAATTGTTACTTTAGTTAGGTATATTTAAGTAGATATATATGAATAATTATTACCTCTCCCACACAAGCGAATTTTCCATTTTTGTAACTGATTAAGGTACTGCTACGATCACCCCACTTTGAATGATAATCACCATATACGGCTGCTTGTGAAATTTCGGCATAGTCCCGCGGCTCATTTTCATCGAGCACTAAAACTACACAAGAACTTTCTATCAATTTCAAAGTGTCTTTATTATTGGGCGACAGCTCTAATAAACGTGTGCGATTCTGTAAAGGAAATAAAATTATGTTAATTACATTGATCTTAAAGCATACCAATTGTCTTATATAGAATTGCTATTCGTAAAAATCTTTTAGTGATTTTGGAATAATTAACATTCAATACAAATGATTTTTATATCATTAGCTAATTAGAGTTTTAACTCACTTCATTAACCAATAATATGCTGTCGAATATATAGAAGGCCCATTTTAGCTATATAATGTCTACATTTTGCATTTAAATATTTTTAAAAATATGTGTGCTTGACCGTAAAGGTAATTTTACATGTACATATTTCTGAAATGGATTCAAAATGTTCATAATATATCGAGGGACTATATTCAATAGTCGCTATCTGACATTTTTATGAAAATGAGATTTTGATGGCAAAATATTCAGCAAACTATCGCGCATCAGTGATATAAATTTCAAGAAAAAAATATTTTTTGGCAATTTATAGCATTTTTTAAATTTCTCTATCTTAAAAAAAGAAAAATTCTGAATGCAAACCTCTCTATCTTATCCAAAAATTGCTTCAAACTCGATCCCTTTGGATAATTTTCTGTTGCAAACAAGTCTTCTTAATAATTTGGACATACTGAACACAAATCCGTCAAAATATTTAAAATCGGTCTAATAGTTTTTGAGATATCGCTCATTATGATACTAATTAAATCAATTTTATTGTCGTGTTTAACCATATAACATTGATTTTGGACCAAAACATTATAATCTGTTGCTTTTTAAACAATTTGGTTTCTTTTCCTCCATTAAATTGTATAAAATATAATATTTATTGATTTTAATTCAAATAAAAATTTTATGTTTCCATGAAAAACTCTATCTGTTGGTTGAATGAACATTTTCGTAGAAAAATAAGCTCTATCTGATATAAATTTGTGAATAATTTTGTAAATAATGCAAAAATTAAAATTCTTTTTATATAATGGTTTAGAATATGGTCCGTAAAAATATATTGTAAAGAAAAAATTAAAAAATCTTCACGAACTAGCGAAATAAACAGTTTTTTTGCTCTCCTGAAAACTTGTATTATTTTAGATAGAGACTATTGAATATAGTCCCTCGATATAAAACTTTAAATATACATATATTGCAAAAATACTTTATTTTTCAATTTTTAATGGACTCATACCATTTCAAAAGCAATAATTTTAAAATATTGTTTTCAAATTTATTATTTATCATGCATAAATGCACTAATACCAATTTTATAAGAAACATTATTATTATTAAATTTAAATTTATTATTTTTATATAGAAATATTGCATTGTATTAGGAGTTTGCTAGATTTTCGGTGTTTTTAACTATTTGCACAGATGCTCGAAAAATCTCATTTTTTTGAGAATTTTTGATTTATTTTTTTTTTTTTTGGATACAAAAAGATCCCATTTAATAGCTTATATGTATGTAACTCTTTTTTCAACTAATTTTTTTTTTTGAAAAGTGGACTCATACCACTTTCAAAATTAACGGTTTATGTTATAATTAGCCATATTTGACCGATAATAGTGTCATGTTTTGTTTGAAACTGTATTTTTTAGTTAAGACTATCTTACACTAAATAAAAGTATGTATGTTTGTTATCAAACTAATTAGAGGTATAAATAAAATTCTTTAATTCAATTATGTTGTGACGTGAAAAAAAAATTAAATACTATCAGAATTAGTCAATTTGCTTACCTCTGCCCAACTAGTACGATCATCATGTGTTAAAACTGGTACACAATCACCCATTGGTTCGTTAATCTAAAATACTGCGTATTCTTTGAAGTACCACTAAAATTTCTAGAGGAGTAATTAAGGTACCATCGCTGGGATGTAAGCAATCAAACATGAAAATACGACCTTTACCCGAAACCAAGCAGTGGGAGGGTTGTTTTACCATCTTAACTAAAATTATATATTATAAAATGAAGTTATTTCCCTATAATTATTACAAATTATTTCTTCACTTACCAGTCTTGAAATGCGATTCTATGTGATCAATTCTAAACCTGGAATACGGCTGGTGGAATAGAAACGTTTATACAAAGCAGAGGAATACTTAATTTTACCACCATTTGAAGATAACGGTTTAATCGTGGCCTTATGCAGTAAATCCCAAAATTCAATAGTGTGATAAGCAAAACGTGCTAAATTCTGTTAATAGAAATTGATTTTAAATTTTATAAGAATTAAATATTTTATAGTTATAATAAATAATACTCTACCTTTAAGGCCATTTCTGGAGTTTCAGTAAGACCAATAACTTCCAATTTGACGGGCATAGCCATTACAATATAGGGATTTAGTGGTAATCTTAGCATGTGATAAGCATAGGCATCCCACCATTCACCTAGCCAATTTTTTAATTTGCCTGCCCGTTCTTTTAGTTTACCATGTAATTCAGACCCAATACCATTTTCAAAATCCTCTATAGCTTTACGTGTAACAGCCAACTCTTCTGCAGTTCCAAAAGGTTTAACACTTTCGTAATATCTTTGCATAGTATCGTGTAAATCTGGCAGGGGAAGCGGTGGTAATTCTTCATCAAAATCGTAAGTATTTTGTTGACTTTCGTCCATGAAGTAAATAGACGCCCGATCCATAATGGGTTATAAATTGAAAAAATGGCTCTGAAAACTATTAAAATTAATAAATAATCGGTCGTTGCGTTCGTGGTGTTCTCAATGGACGTATGCCATAGACAGTATTGATAAGAGAACAATAATATTGTTATATTTGTACTTTGCTTGTTGGTCTATATTTATTAATCACAAACCTGTGTTTAATTAATTATAATTAAATACCAGATAAACATATGTACATACACACGTATGAATGTACGTATTTATGCATATTCCCTTGATAAGAACCGTCTGCTTTTGGTATCAACTTAAATCAATAGGTAAATTAACAAAACAATTATATTTTACATTTTTGTTTATTTTCTGTATACATACATATGTATGTACGTAATTATAAATATTTTAATTAAAGATTTTATCAATTTAATCATAAAAATTTATTGTCCGATGTGTACACAGCAAATATCGTATAAAAATTGACCACATCTATGAACTTATTAATTTTATAGTCACCACTAAAAAAATGAATTGATTTTATCATTTAGTTTGTAATTCTTCAAAATATGGGTCGTAGATGATTTATTTCTAACTACATACATACATGTTTCGGTTTGGATAACATATTTGGATAACATTTCTATGGGATCTAGATAAAATAGTTAAATTCAGTTTTAAACCAATTGAACTTGGATAATTTGAGTTAATTTGGAAACCTACATACATATATTTTGATTATAGTAATGGAAGAGGATAACTACATCAATTCGAAACCTTGATTAGAATACTTAAAGATGGTTGAAGGAGCACACATTATACCCTCCATTACTTCACATAGCGGTAAAGAATATAACTATTTTATATGCTTTATATTATATGACTTTATACCTATAGGTTGATATTTTTTAAGAAATCAAAAAAACCTATTATTTAGCCAATTTAATAATTTTTAATCGATATTAGACTTTACTGCGATTTTACTAAAATTTTACACAAGAAAGTTTTAGAACCTAATAATCAAAATAACACCCATCTGAGCAAAAATCATAGGTATTTTTGGATACATCTAATGTACATGCATACCAACCATTACAGTCGATCAAAGTTCAATTTAAATCCCTCTTAGGTGATTTTACCCTTTTATTAAAGGAAGATGCGTGTGATATCATATATGTATGTGTATGTAATTTTTTTATTAAATTCAATTAAAGTGATAAATATACCTGTTCCATCTATTTTTGTTATAATTTTTTTAACAACAAAAATGCCTAATACTTCATAAACTGACCTTTGAACACTTCAATAGATTGCAAAATATACTGAAAATCTTACGCTGGTTTGTCTGGCTTTCAACAGACAAAAAACACAACCGAACGTTTTAAAAATATAAACAAGACTGAATTAACTTATAGCCGGTAAAAGCCTACAAATTGGACAAAGTGATATCAACAAAACAATAAACGAATGCGAAAGAATATAAAAATATGAGCAAGAAAAAAAATTAGTAATTTTTTTACATTTATAAAATGTAAGAAGAAATTGCATAGCAAACAATACATGTAGAACAACAAATAACAAATTAAAGAAATACAATAATATACTACATACACACAATTATACAAAAGTAAACAAATATAATTTAAGTTGAATGTCTAATTAGTTAGACTAGATTATTATTTAGTAATGTGGATTGGTGTATTAATCTGATAAAACAAATTTAAAATAAACACAAAGAGTGCAATTTACTATTTGATGTTATTGTTTTAATGGACTTTGTACTGACATACATATGTACATATATATACATTCATACATATTTTAGATTTTATGTTTTTATTTCTTTCGTTTACGTTGACATTGTTATTGTAAAATTTGCATAAATTGTTTACATTTTGTTTAAATTTTAAATACTTTTTACCTGAAGCTTTTTGAAGATATTCGCCAGAATACTTATAATATCGAAAAGTAATTTATACTTTAATTAAAATTAATTTTAATTCCTGTTCTTTCATTGAAAAAGTAAAATTACAAAAATATACCAGGCATGGGAAATTTAAAATATTTAATTGGGAAAGTAATTTTTAGCAGTATATGCAATTACATTTGAAATTTGGTTTAAAATTAATATTTTATTTAATTTTTACTACCTATACATAAATTTGGTATCATATTTATGTGAGTATTAATAATTTATTTAAAATTTATTTATATAATCTTTCTTTCCTTCCGTTTAGTAAAACGGTAACTGTCAACATTATTTCGGTGTGTTGTTATAGCAAATTAATTAGATCAGTAAAAATAACTACCTACCATAACGACAGACAAATTTAAATATTATTACAGTTAATAGATATTTGATTTTGTTGACAAAACGTGGGCAGAAAAATTGTCAGTTTTTTGTTTATGTTAATACACAGGGGTAACAAAACGTTGATTCTATCACTCACAGATAATTTTATTGAAATAATGCTATATTTTATAAAAACAATTAAAATTAAATGCAAATTTTGTAAATAAACACTAATTTCACTAAAACTAATGTTAAAAATCTATTTTAATTGCACAAAAACAAAATTCTAAACTAATTTTACAATAAAATGACGTTATCAAGACAACGTCATTTTATTGTAAACAATTGTTTAGACAACACTGTCATAACGACCTTATAACGCTAATAAATGCCGTCTGCACCTGCTAATTTTTTATTATGATAATAAAAATTTGTTAAGGCGCTTAAGAAATGTTAATAAAATACTGTTAACATTTATGTATAAAGTAAACACCGGCAGTTCAATATTGTTACGTCTCTGTCTTACGCCGGTAGTTGTTAACTTGGCAGCACTGTTCAATAATTTCACAAAATTTATAAGCAGCTGTGTATCCATAGTTGATCATAATAGTACTGTAAACAAAAGTATCTTATATCATGAAAAATTGACAAATTAAAACAAAATTTTAATTAAAAATATATTTATATATATGATTATATAATTTTATAATATAATATTTTCAAATTTTGAATAATAAAATCAAAATTTTAAACAAATTCAACTTCGAAAGAGTTTACAAAAAGCAATCGTAGTACTTAATTAAAGCAACTGTGGGAAGTTACACTATATTTTCACAATCCAATGCTTGTGCAAATTCTTTGTTTTTTTAATGTAATATTCTTAAAGAAGACATTTAATATTTTTCAATTAAATAAATTAATTTTTGTTATTTTAAACGGGGGTCATGTTACCCTCGACTGGTTTATTTAAAAGTTATGTATGTCCTTATTACGATGGGACGGCCGCCACTAGTACACGTAATGACATTGAAACTGGGGTCACTGCGGCAGCTACATGTCATCGACCCTACTGTCATTTCAGGCATGTCCGGAAAGGTACACATGAACTTAGGCATTTTCCATAACATTAAATTGTAAAAAATGATTTCTTTTTGCAGAAGTTATAGAAAAGAAGGTAATTGCACCAACGGCAGCAGTGCAGTCAGCACCAGAATATAAGGCTACACCAAAACTCTTGGCTTTGCCTCTGCCAGAATTATCCCTACCATCGGTGTTGAAAAAGAAAACAAAATTGGAATATCAACCAGAAAAGCCTGCAATTAACGCTTCTCCTTCAATAAAACGTAAATCACTAGATTCTGCGCCAGTGTATATTCCAGCACCGACTACACAGCAACTTGATGAGAACAGTCAAGAAAGTGTCAATTTGGATTTAGATGATTGCAATGATGAGTTGAACGAACTAACAGGAATTATTGAAAATGATAACTCGGAGTTGGCAAAATTCTCCGACGAAGATGAATCATTGGACTGTAATAGTAAAGAAATCGAAAAAGATGACTCTCACAAAAATAAAGAAGAACAACTAAAGAAACCTAGCAGCGGCAGTGAAAGTTCCGACAAAGATAAGCACAAACGAAGGGATTCTTCAACATCATCTCATTCTAGTAGCAGACACAAACATCACAAATCCTCTTCTAGGTCAAAAGAAACGACGGACTCGTCAAAAACCAAAAAAGAAGATGATAAACGTAAGGAGAGAGATTCTAAACAACGCGATAAAGATCATAAATCATCATCTTCCTCCTCCTCAAAACATAAATCTTCATCATCATCATCATCATCATCCCGTAAATCATCAACAAGGGATAAAGATAGTAAAGAATCAAAATCGAAGGTATCCTCTTCATCTTCATCTACTGATAAAAAATACAATTCTTCTTCATCTAACTCTTCCTCGAAAGCTAAATCTTCATCCTCTTCTAAAACGTCTTCTTCGTCTTCAAGTAAACATTCTAGTAGCGATAAGATATCTTCAAAAGAATCATCATCTTCAAATTTAAAGACTGAAAATTCTGATTTAATAATGGAGGATACTTCCGCAATATTTGCTACTACAGAAGAGGATATTATGAAAGAATGTGAAATGATTTATGATCAATTGGAACAAGAATTTGCATCACTTCATCAGACCAATGCAGCTAATGAAAATTCCAAAGTAGAAGCAGAAAAGGAAAAGGAGTCATTAAAACGTAAAGCTTTAGATGAAGAGGATGCATTAAATGCCCCTAGCAAAAAACGGGTTGCATACGAAAATGCTGATAAAAATAAATCTCATATGCCGGTTGTTGTACATAAACCGGATCATCGAAAGAATGCTATGCAGGTAGAACTTTTTTTAATTTCGGCATTAAATAATAATTTAGGTTTTATTTGAAAGAAGTATAATTTTTTATAATATATGTTATCCTCTTAGGCAATTTTTGACCGTCAAGATGCCATTAAACGCAAGCATGAAGAGGAGGCTGCAGCAGCAGCTGCTGCATTAAGGGAGGCCGAGGAAAAAGTTCGTGAAGCAAATGAAGCCCTACGCAAAGTTAAAGAAAAGACGCTTACCCCACTCGTACCAAAATCTTATTTAACGCCACCATCAAAACCCATAGGTTAGTAAAAAAATATTATTTTTTTTTAACAAATTAAGAATTTCATTTACAGGCCGCTCAATGATAGCCCCAGTGGCAAATATTATTGCGTTGGAACGGGCTAAAAAGAAGGTCGAAGAATTAAGAGCAGAAAAAAGACCAGCATTTACCCCAGCACAAACCAGTAAGGCTGGATCAAGAGTAGCTCACAAAATCACAGAAAAAGCCACAGCAACTGAGGCAACTAAACAACCTAAACCACCCGTGCTGGAAGCAAATTCTACCAAAATTTCATTTAACATACGTATGCAGTATTATGACATGATGGTTAAACATTGCCTCGCTATGTATCCAAATACAGCAGATGCTTGGGAAAGGGTAATTAAGAAAAATTTTGTTTTGTTTACTATATGTTACAATTTTAATTCCTTCCATTATATACAGGCACAGACAGAAGAATTGGCTGTTTTTAAAAAATGCAATACACCAGTTATTTATAAAAGTAGTGCTATGTTAGCTATAAATAAATTAAGAAAAGAAGCAACAGGTAATTTTCTTATAAACAAATTGTAGTGCAAGAATGACTTAACTAAAAATTAAAGAAATTATCTAATTCTGACGATAACTGACGACTTTTTGCTTTTATTTTAGAATTTGTAGATCGTAAAAAGTAAATTTTACATTTTTCAGATCCTTGCACTAATAGGCAATTATTAAAATGTTTCTGATTTTTTATTAAAATTGTTGTTTTTTTTAGATTCTGGCAATAAACCATCAAATGCTAATAAATTAATATCACATGAAGTGGTATTAGCGGGTAAATTAGCAAATAATACATCTTGGAGTGTACAAAAGAAAATGTAAGTTATTAAAACTTTTTTAAATAAATTTTTCCGGCTCTTATATAGTTATATAATTAACCACCCAGGAAAAAAGTGAGAAAAAAGTGGTAAAATTTTGAGTTGTAAATCATTGAAGAGTTGTTGTTTATTTTTGACGCCTTTTACCTAGAACTAATCTTATTGTTAAAAGCAGTAAAAATCCGATATTGCACTAATTTTTGACGAATTTTTTAAAGCCTTTATAAATTAATATCTTCAAAATTGAAATTTTCTATAAATGCACAACTATTTTCTTTAGTACAAGCTACAAGCTTGAGGTTTGCAATTTAATTAAAAGAAAGACTTTTCTTACACTTGATGGAAAGGTCAGAATGTTTACAACAGTTTACATAACCCTATAGTTCATAATAACTGGTAATATGAAAATTTGAGATACAACCGGTATATTGCATGGAATATTGTTTGTTATATCGAGGGACTATATTCAATGTCTCTATCTGTCATTTTTATGAAAATAAGATTTTGATGGCAAAATATCCAGCAAACTATCCCGCATCAGTGGCATAAATTTCAAAAAAAAAATATTTTTTGGCAATTTTATAGCAATTTTTAAATTTCTCCATCTTATAAAAAGAAAAATTCTGAATGCAAAACTCTCTATCTTATCCAAAAATTGCTTCAAACTCTATTATTTTGGATAATTTTCTATTGCAAAACAAGTGCTTTTACTAATTTGGAAATGCTGGACACAAATCCGCAAAAATATTTGAAATCGGTTTAATAGTTTTCGAGATATCGCACATTATAATACTAATTTGATCAATTTTATTCCGTGTTTAACCATATAACATTGATTTAGGACCAAAACCTTATAATCTGCTGCTTTTTCAACAATTTGGTTTATATTACTTCATTAAATTGCATAAAATATAATATTAATTGATATTAAATCAAATAAAAAAATTTATATTTCTATGAGAAACTGTCTATCTGAAGGTTGTAAAAAAAATTTCGTAGAAAAAAAGCTCTATCTGATATAAAGTTGTGAATAATTCTGCAAATAATGGAAAATTTTAAATTCTTTTTATATAACAATTTACAATATGGTCTTAAAAATATATTGTAGAAGAAAAAAATCAAAAATCTTCACGAACTAGCTAAATAAACAGTTTTTTTGCTCTCCTGAAAACTTGTGTTATTTTAGATAGAGACTATTGAATATAGTCCCTCGATATACTTCTACATCTTTTTGTCATTTTAACTGGGATTCTATTTATATTTATTTTAACTATTGTATTTTATTTTATAGCAAAAATGATGCCTCAGCAGGTGGTGAACCATTTGATAAATTGCCAAGCGATAAAGCATACGAAATGGTTTATGATTTGCGTTTAACCGAAGAGCAATTAGTAGCAAATGGTTACCCCAGGTCAGGTATGAAGCCAGGAACAGCAAAAATACAATGTACGAAACCCATGCGTAGACCAAATGATACCGAACGCTATTGCAGTCGTTGTGGCAAAGTTTTCAATCTACAAATGTACGATGAGGTGTGTGTGGATGAGTGTAATTATCATCCCAAGGGTACAGGTTACAGAAGAGGTTTGTATAAAAAAGGCAACGATTATTATATACATATATTATTGAATGAAGCGATATTCTTACATTTTATTTTATTTTTCATCTTCTAGGTTTTGCTGACAATCATCATCGTTGCTGTCAACAACCAGCTGGTACAGCA